GTGTACCCAGTATCTTAGAACAGCAACTGACCAGGAGAGAGACTTCTTTTTTAAACATGAGCAAACCCTACTCCTAGATTAAGAGCTACAGACAATTAATGACTTGAAATGGGAAGATCCATCTTCCCCAGAGTTGAACTCCATATTTGATTATCTTATATAAAATGGTCAGCCCTAAAAATACACACATGAGTAAAGCTAAGTAGACTCAGAAGGTTGTAATTATATATTAGTTTGTGTGTATATGCATATGTTTGTATAACAATAATAATTTCCAAAAGGGGCCATGAATTCGGGATCAGTGGGTGTGTTTCTAGAGAGGAAACTGGAGGGAGAAGATGGAGGGGAAGGGATGTTGTAAATAAAGTATATAGCATGAAATTTTTAAAAAGTAATTGAGAGCAAATTCCGTGTATTTGGGTAAATGTAATAGGAATGGTTTGGTAAAAGGTGGCATGCTAATGGTCCTTAATTGTTTTATTTTGGTGTTTTCTGTCATAGTGAGTCTGTTTTTTTTTTCCCTACTGCTGCTACCAAAAGATTTTCTTTATATTTCTTCATTTGTCTCATTTTGAATATAATTTTTGTCCCAAAAACTATGTCTAAGAGATAAGAGTATTAGATTTTCCTGCTTTCTTAAAGTCCTTTGAAAGCCTAGTCAGCTGTCTTGCTGGCCTTAAGTTTTAATCAAAATTTGTTGTTTATATGGTTTTAATATTATTCATTATAATGTTTATATGAGTTTGTTGCTGGTATTACTGCAGTAAGTGTGGGGTGGCTGTTTTTCTTCCTGATACGTTTATTTACACTGAAAATTTAAACTATTTGCTGTATACTTGATAACACAGTTTACATTATTTGCAAATAGAATATTTGTTTTATCATAAGCATGTGCAACCATAACCTTTCTTTTAGAAATACCAGGGTAAATAGTATAAATTCTTGAGTATGAAGGAGGTAACAGTTAAAATTGTATCACCGTAAATCAGATCTTATTTTTCATTGGCATAGTTGTTTTTAATTGGAGACCCCATTTCTCACTAAATGTTACACCTATTTATATAAACAACAGATATCCTTGTTTTTCTTTTAGTTCAGATAACCATAATTTTATAAAAGTTATAATTACCTAGTCTTAGTTTATTGATTTTAAATTATGTTGTTTTGAGTTAGAGTGAATTAATGGCTTTATAGATCAGTAACTCAAGCCAAGAAATGGATCTCTATATTATGTGGAGTGCTTAAAATCCTGCATTTGTCCGGCATGTAAAACTTAGAACTCAGGAAATTGAGGGAAACATCTGTAATTAGTTTTTCTGTGTCCCACCAGCCAGCTCCCAAATAATGACATAGACTTACAGTTAATTATGAAAGCTCTGCCTTAGGTTACGCTTGTCCCGCCAACTCTTGTGACTTAAATTAGCCCACGTTTTGTTAACCCATCTCTTTATACTGCCCTTGCTGCATTCTCCATGGCTGGATGGCGACTCCTCCTTCCTCTTCCCAGAGTCTCTCTGTGCCTAGCTATACCTAGACCTCAGTTTTTTTTTTTAAACTAAACATCTTCACACAGTGTACAAATATCCCACAAGATTTCCTCCCATTTTTGTCTAAATGAGAAGAAAAGGTTTTAACTGTAACGTTGTAAAATCGTATAAAATAAGGACAATAATCAAGTAAATACATTTACAATGTCTAATCTATCTGTATTTGGCAACTCTGTGTTTTTAGACCTCAAAACATTTTCTTAGGTAAACAGATTAAGCTGAATGCTTGCCCTTAGCTTAGGCTTGTCCCACTAGCTCTTCTATCTTAAATTAGCCCATTTATTTTAATCGAATTTTGTTGTGTAGCTCATTACCTCATCTCCACACTGTCCATGCCATTTCCTCAACGTCTGGCAGGCAACTCCATCTTCTTCCCAGAGTCCTCTCCCTGCCCGGAAATCCCACCTGTACCTCTTGCTTAGTTATTGGCTGTTCAGCTCTTTATTACACCAATCACAGCAGTGTATCTCTTACAGTCTACAAATATCCCACAACAAACATACTATAATTTGTGGACAGCCACGGACTACAGAAAGAAACCTTACTTCAACAACAAATCCTTAAATTTTTTGAGAACTCCCTGGAGTGATTCTGCTGCCTAAGAACTATAAACTATAGAACAAAAGAGAATTGTATGTATTTTAGTTCATTTTGAAAGGTGTTTCTCATCTAAAACTTGATTTTTTTTTAAAAAGTTTCTCTATATACCCTAGGTTGAGTTCACTTTGTGATCCAGACTAACTTTGAACTAGCAGCATTCCTACTACCTCAGCCTCACAATTACTCAGGTTACAGGCTTATACCATATGCCCTGCCCCAAATTACTTTTCATCATGTAAATTTCTTTGTAGCAGTACCATTAAAAAACAGACTGATCCATAGAGCAGGCTCCTCCCCTATAATGATTATCAGAGTAGACCTGTTTTAAAGTGTCCCCCTAGAGCTGGTAAAAATTCGTTGCTATAAGATCTTGCCTTTTTACTGTATTAGATTACTAGGACCATATCTTGTAGTTTCAGAATTAAATTACCTGCCCCATTCATTTTGGGCCTAGAAATACACTTTTGAGCTTATGCCAGATAATCTGCCTTATTTTGCTTCCTTTTTTTAACCCACCAAATTTAGTGAAATATTCAGGTTTTCTAAGACCAAGTTAGACTTTACTTTTTTCTCTCCTCAACCTCAAGTGGGGATGTAATTAAATTACCTCAGTTATCTCAGAGTTTAAATTGGTTTTGAATGGCCAATAATAAAAATGTAATTTCTTAAGAGTGAATTATTACAATATTTAAGACTAACTTGCAAGGCTAACTTGCTTCTTGTCTTGACTGCCTGTTCTTAACTACCCAGTAGCTGCTTCCCAAATCACCGCACAGAAGCTTATATTAATTATAAATGCTCAGCCAATAGCTCAGGCTTATTACTAACTACCTCTTACATTTTAAGTTAATCCACGTTTATGATCTGTCACGTGGTGGTACCTTTATTAGCATAGCATGTTTATCTCCTGTTCCCTCTGCATCTGGCTGGGGACTCCTGACTCTGCCCTTCTTTCAATCATCCTTAGTTTGGTCACCCTGCCTATACTTCCTTCCTGGCTACTGGCCAATCATCGTTTTATTAAACCAGTTTGAGTGACAAATCTTTACAGTGTAGAAGAGGATTATTCCACAGAACTAGCTAGACAGTTTACTTTAAAAATTATTTTTAATTTTATGTATGTGTGTATGTTTGTGTGCCCATGCATGTATAGTCATGTGCGTTTATGTACCGGTGCCAGTGAAGCCAAAGACATAAGATCCTTGTGGATGGGTGCTGGAAACCAAACTCAGTCCTCTTCAGGAGCAGTATATTCTCTTAACCACTGAAGCATCTCTTCAGTCCCAGATATGTTACGCTTAAAAAAAAAGACTCTTCAATGTTGCAGACTACGAGTTCTTTACCTCTTCATTTCTGTTCATATTGTTATATTCTAGGCATTGCTGTTGACCAAAGGTGCAGTTTGTTTGGAAACATTTATTTTTATAAACAGACAACCCTCTCCTCCCCAAAAAAAAGTTTTGCCTCAGATTTAAGTTTTCCATTCAAATTGTAATGCAGCTACTAGTTTGTAGCTTGAAAAAGACCTTACTTCTAAGAAAAAAAAGAACTTAGCCACTTACCTCTATCTGGCTTTAAGTATAGTTTCTGCTACTTCCTTGTCAGAGCTCTGTTTTGGTGATGGTCAGTTAGATAATAAGATTATAAACTATTTAACTAGGTGAGTTAGGTTTTGAATCAGAACACTTGAATACCCTGTGGTAATTAGTCTGTACTTACCAAGAGTTGTGTATCTCGTTCCTACTAGGAAGTGTTAGTGACTGAGGATTTGAAAGTTGGATTTCATGAGCTCTGGCAGTTTGCTGGGTGAAAGGACTAAAATATCCAAGAAGTCCAGTGTAGAGAATAAGACAAGAATGGGGAAAGTGAGAGATGATTTTGGGCATTAGGGGTGATATACTGTGCTTACTTACTCTTCTGCCGCTTGCTCCCCTATGTGTAAGTCAGCAACAGTACTTACCGACTAGATGAATAAATTTGTGTCGGGATGTGTGTGGTATTATTTATTTTTATTTGTTTTGTTTATACCAGGGAAAATAAAAAAATTGTACGTGAAGTTAGACTGAAAGAATCTAAGGTCAATAAAAATGCTGTAACATTCTCTTTTCGTGTTTGAAGATTTTATCGTCCCATATTTTAGAAATTCCCAACTGGGTGTTTGCAACAGAATCGTCTATGGATATAACATCTAATCCAGAAAGGTTAAATTAGTATCTCCTCATTAGTTGAATTTCAGACAGTGTTCAGTGTGGTTTTAATATGTTTACTTCCTAGGAAAGAATCCATTTTCTCTCTGATGCTAGATTTTGAAAATTCTTGTTTAATTTTTCTAAAGATATTTTTGTGTATCTTTAGAAAACTTATGTTAAAGTTAAAACAGGGTGAGAGAAGAATGATAGCATTAACAGTTTATAATCAGTCAAGCACAATTTGTTCTTACAAATAAAAGTTTATACAAAATTACAACTTACCTCAAAGGGTAGATAAAATTGGCAGACCACATATAAAACAAGGAGGGTATTAGTTATATTCCTGTTAGTCCTTTGTGTTAGCTTTGAAAATTATTTTTTTCTAATCTCTTGCTATTTAATTTTTCCAATCTCTTATTTATCCAGTCTTATTTACAAAGAGACCATTTTCTTCTAGTCAGCTATTTTTTTTTTCCTGTTCATTTTTGTCACCATTGTTCAGTTTGCATCTAGCAGAGTTTATCAGGGCAAACATTACTGGGCATTTGGGTTGGATGTAACTTTTAAATACTTCTTTTGGTCCAAAGTATTTATGTACATTGCTTGGAAATATTCTGGAGAAGATAAACGTTAATAGTTTTAATGTAAATATGTTTTCTTGTAGCAGAAAAAGAAAACTAAGACCTTCAATCCACCAACACGTAGAAATTGGGAAAGTAATTACTTTGGGATGCCCCTCCAGGATCTGGTTACAGCGGAGAAGCCTATACCACTATTTGTTGAAAAATGTGTGGAATTTATTGAAGACACAGGTAGGCTAAAAGAATCAATACATTCGATTTGATTTATGCTCACATTGTTGCTGCAGTAACAGTTTGTTGAATGTTTGTGATATCTTAAAGCATAGTTGAGCCTTATAGTTCCCATTAGTGTCATCTTAGTCACCCTGAAGGCGGTCTGATATTTATTGTTGATCAGTAGTGATTTTGAAGATCTTTTTGAACATAATAAATATGTTGAAAGTTAAAATGTTAAGCTTAACCTAATTCTGTAATTTATAACAGCTTCATTAGTATAATATTAAGAGATTACATTTATGATTTTTAAAAATATTTTCAACCTAATAATATTTATTGCATATTTTACATAAGGATAATTTTTTTAAATTAAAGCCATAATTATAAATTTATAAATGACAGTTCATTATGTGTGTGATTCGCTATTTATTCAGCAGTCCTAACTTGATGTTATCTTATATAGTTTAAGGAATATATAGATATCTTCACAGTTCTTAAAACAAGTTTGCAAATTTTTTTGCTATTATATAGATAATTAAAACTGAAAAAAATGAGAGTTGGACTAGTAAGAGTTGGAAAATAGATTTGAAAAAATGTGCTTTGAGTGTATTTTATTTACTGTTTCTGAGACAAGGTCTTACTTTGTAGCTATGGAACTGTGTAGACCAGTCTTCAACTCACACAGAAATTCTGCTGCCTCTACCTCCTGAGTGCTAAGATTAAAGGCATTTGCCAACATGCTTGACCATTGAGCACATTTTTTAAATGAATCCAAGTGATTTAATGAAAAATTATAAGAAAAGATTAAAAATACAAGCTACATCATGTTTAGCCTTATTTGCTTGTAATGCTTTTTCTGATCTAACTTTTTTATGCTAGTAAAGCTATGTCTTATCTAAATAATCATGCTTACTTTTGCTCATGGGTGCCCTACCCTTTAGTACAATTATCACTTTATTTGTCTACGTATTGATTTGTCTATTTGATGAGGAATGGTGACTTCTGATTTTAGTAAGGATTAGAATATGGTAAAATACTGTTATTCACTAATCATGATTGAAATAAGATGTCTTCTTTCAGTTAATATATGTTAATTTTTAGAGTCTGCATTTGATGTAAAATTATTCTTTCTTCAACAAAGACTTAAGAAATGAGTTTTGGACAAATTTCATGTCTGACTTTAAGATAGGAAAAACGAATGCAAAGATTTTTCTAATACTAGCTCTCTGCTTTGGACTTAACTGGATTCTCATTAATATCTGGATCTTCTGTTTGATTCCATTGGTCCTCCTGTCTGTTTTTATGCCAATACCAGGCTGTTTTTAGTACTGTAGCTCTGTAGTAGAGTTTGAAGTCAGGGATTGTGGTGTCTCCAGAAGTTCTTTGATTGTACAGGATTGTTTTGTCTATCCTGGGTTTTTTGCTTTTCCATATGAAGTTGAGTACCGTTCTTTCAAGGTCTTTGAAGAATTTTGCTGGGCATTGCATTGACTCTATCGATTGCTTTTGATAAGATTACCATTTTTACTATGTTAATTCTACCTACCGAAGAGCATGGGAGATCTTTCCACTTTCTGGTGTCTTCTTCAAAGATTTAAAGTTCTTGTCATGCAAGTTTTCCACTTGTTTGGTTAGAGTTACTCCAAGATATTTTATGCTATTTGTGGCTATTGTGAAGGGTGATTTCTTCCCCAACCCTTTTATCATCTGTGTACAGGGAGGGCTACTGATTTTCTTTGAGCTAATCTTGTATCTTGCTACATTACTGAAAGTATGAGTGTAGAAGTTCCTTGGTAGAATTTTTGGGGTTGCTTAAGTAAACTATCAAATCAGCAGATAGTGAGAGTTTGACTTCTTCTTTTCCGATTTGTATCCCCTTGATCTCCTTTTGGTTTCTTATTGCTCTTGCTAAGACCTCAAGAACCATACTGAATAGATATGGAGACAGTGGACAGCCGTCCTGTTCCTGATTTCAGTGGGATCGCTGGGAGTTTCTCTCCATCTAGTTTGACTTTATTATGTATAGTTATGTTCCTTGTATCCCTGCTCTCTCCAAGATCTTTATCATGAAGGGATGTTGTATTTTGTCGAAAGCTTTTTCAACATCTAATGATATGATCATGTGGTTTTTATTTTTCAGTTTGTTTCTATGGTGGATTGCATTGGCAGATTTTTGTGGCCTGGAAGGATGGCCCAACCATTAAAGGCTAGGCTCACAACCTATATATGTCTTTTCTTACGTTTTTGAACTTTAAAAATCATTACAAGAATTATTCGCCAGGATCCATTCAGGGATCTTCCATTGTAGTTTTTGGTATGCTTCTCTTACACTTCTTTAAAATAGCTTCTTAGCTGTGTCTTTTTTCATGACATGTATACTTTTGTTTTTGATTTTTTTTCCGGGGGAGCATTTTTTTTTGTTTTGTTTTTCTATTTGTTTGCTTTTTGGTTTGGTTTAGATTCATAGGTTTTTTTTTTTTTTTTTGAGAAATGTTCCTAAATTTATTTGTATAATTTGTGATGAGAGTCAGGTTCAGTATTTTTAATTGGAGTTTTTTGTAGAGCTGAAGAATCCTCTATATCACACAGTAGGTGGCAGTTATTAAAGAACTATTTCAATTGCTTTTTAGAATCCTATCTTTAAATAACCCCAACTCATTGTCAGATAATTGTCAGGGGTTGCAGTTATTGTCACTTGAATTTAACAGGGTAAGTACTGAACTGGCTGATCTTTCAGAAGACTGAGTTCAATTCCCAGATCGTATGACTGCTCACAACTGCCTGTAATTCTGGTCCCTGGAAATCCAATGCTATATTCTAGTCTCTGAGGGTATCAGGCATACATGTGATAGAAAGAAATACATGTAAGCAAAATATCCATACACACAAAAATAAATTAATGAAATTTAAAAATAAATGAGCTAGCCACTAAAAACAACCTGGCTATATTTTTCCTAGCACAAAGGAGCAGTAAATTAGCCCCTGAAACATTTCTTCAGATTGTTTTTAAATGCTTATGTCCAGTATCAACTTCCTTTAGGCCTCCTGGTATATTAAGTGTACTTTTTATGGTTTTCTAGTTTGAGACCATCTTATTTTTATTTGTTACTAACAACAGTCTTACCGAAATATATGATCATTTACCTGGTTAACAGGCTACTTTTTGTTTATTTGTTTTACCCACCATCCATTAGAATATACTCTCCATGAAAATAGTGGTCCCTAGTTTCTAAAACTGTCTGTACATAATTAATCCTTAATGTTTTATAACCAAACGATTGCCCTTGTGGCATACAGACAGATTTCTTCTGAAGTTCTGTGTTTCAGGAGCTGGAGAGATGGCTCATTAAGATCAAGTGCTGTTCTTCAGAGCATCCAAGTTCAATTCCTAGCACTCATGTTAGCTCCAGGGGATCCAGTGCCCTTTTTTTTCCTGTAGGCATTTTCACATATGTGCACATACCCCTACACAAATGTAGGTAGGTAGGTAGGTAGGTAGGTAGGTAGGTAGGTAGGTAGATAGATAGATAGATAGATAGATAGATAGATAGATATGATAGAGTGGTAGTTCAAGTGTACTTGGTTCTCATAATCGCATAGGGAATGGCACTATTAGGACGTGTGGCCTTTTTAGACTAGGTATGGTCTTACTGTAATTGTGTCACTATGGGGGTGGGCTTTGAGATCTATTTTGGCTCATTGTGACACCGAGACCATTTCTTATTGCCTTCTGATCAAGATGTAGCCAGCACCATGTCTGCTTGCACACGGCCATGCTCCCTGCCATAATGATAATGGACTGAATATCTGAAATGTTAAGCTACTACCTCAGTTAGATATTTTCCTTTATAAGAGTTGTTGCAGAGGCATGGTGTCTCTTCACAGCAATAGAAATCCTAAGACAGACAGACAGTTAAAAAGAGGAGACAATCTTTGTAAAAGTTCAAAGAGTAGTATCATTGTTGATTCCAAAGAACCATGTATTAGAAGATGTTTTGCGGGTCATTGGTGGTAATAGTGTTGAACAGCCTTCTGTATTTTAGAAGCTTGCTCCTTAGTATGGCAGTGTTGAGAAGTAGTGTGGACCTTTAAGAGATGCTGAGAAGTCCTTAGATCATTTACTAAGGTGATTAAGATAGTTTTTGAGAGGTTATAAAAGCCTGAGATTGGCACCTCCAGCTGACTTCCTTTCTGTTAATATTATATTTATACTGTAATGATGCAGATAAGAACTGATGTTCACACTAAAATAAACTTCTTAAAAAGTTAAATGTCCTTGACTCTTTTATTATAGTAACAAAAGGCTAATATATCTGTGCTGTAATTTAATAATTTAAATTTATGTGAACTTAAATAACTTTCATTTTGCTGACTTTATTATAATATTATAAAAAACAAACATTTTTTTCTTTTGGGATTACTTTATAAATTGATATAATTGTACAGAATTGCTATTTTATACTTGATAATCAGATTATGTGTATTTGTAACACCTTGTTTTCTTTTGTCAAACATTTGAGTTCATATAGATATGTCATTCTACTTTGTTCTCATCCCCCTTCCACTGAGGAACATCCACTGTTTACAATAGCCACAAATAACAAAATACCTTGGGGTAACTGTAACCGAACAATTCAAGGACTTGTATGATAAGAACTTTAAATCTTTGAAGAAAGAATTCTAAGAAGACCTTAGAAAATGGAAAGATCCTCCATGCTCTTAGATAAGTAGAATCAACATAGTAAAAATGGCAATCTCACCAAAAGCAATCTACAGATTCAATGCAATACCCATCAAAATCCCAGAAGAATTCTTTACAGACCTCGAAAGATCAATATTAAACTTCATACGGAAAAACAAAAACCCAGGATAGCCATAACAATCTTGTACAATAAAGGAACTCCTGGAGGCATTACCATCCCTGACTGCAAACTCTGCTGTAGAGCTACAGTATGATAACAACTTGGTATTAGCATAAAACAGACAAGGGGACCAATGGAACAGACTCAGAGTCC